CTCCCGTTGCCGAGCACAGGCTCCGGACGCGCAGGCTCAGCGGCCATGGCTCACGGGCCCAGCCGCTCCGCGGCACGTGGGATCTTCCCGGACCGGGGCATGAACCCACGTCCCCTGCATCGGCAGGTGGACTCTCAACCACTGCGCCACCAGGGAGGCCCCTGACTCTCATTTTTTAAAAAAAAGTTTCGACTGGGTAAGTCACCTAGTACTTATTCTCAGCTATTTATGTATGTCAAGCTAACACTAAAGTCCACATAGCCCTCTTCCACTAACTTCAACGATTTAGTCAGCAACATATCTCTTCGAATGTATACCTCATCAGGGTGCTAGTTTGCAGAAACTCATCTGGAATGAAAAGACCTAAGGGAAAAAAAATAGGACTGGGAGAGCAGTTCTTCGAATCAGTTTATTTTATGTAGCAACTCTTCCTCTTAGAGTAGGTTAAATATTGTTGACATTTTAAACCATAGCTATGGACCTTAGCAGCAACTTTTTAAAACAATATATTAAGAAGTAAAACTTAACTCAAAAACACCACATTCCCTATAGATTATCATGTTGGTATCCTTGTTCCAAGAAATGGTTTTTTTTGAAACTTAAGCACCCTAAAACTTAAGCCTGTGAGATATTAGGAGTCATGTTTTATAAAAGTCAAGAATTAGGGACCAGTAGTGACAGGCTTACCTGTGGCAAGAAGCACCAGCTCTTGGTCAGGACTCCAACTCATGACAGAGATACCACTGGCTACACTCCCGACACATTCCAGCTGAGAGAGACATTTTAAAATGTTAAGGGAGATATGAAAATATAAGCATCTCCGTAAATATTTACTATGACCTTAATCAAAACAATTAACAAAACACACAAAGGTGAAATTATTCAGTGAACATTTATTCAGTAACAGGTATTAAAAGACCAGGCATGATACAGACCATAGGGACTGGAAGTGACTACAGCCACTCCATTCCTCCCGTTAAGGAGATAAAAGATGCCTCTACAGCAGGGTTAGGGATGTAACCGAGGTCTCTGGGAATTAAGTGGGGGCTCAGGACAGAGACTGACAAGTGGCCCAGGACAGTCCAGGAAAGCTTCTCGGAGGAGGTGCTTTGAAGGGTAGGAATAGGGCCAGGAGGAAGAGACTGGGGGGGGAAATGTGCAGTTAAGAAGAGCACTTAAAAATCAGCTGCAACTATAGAGCCTAAGGTATACATATACACAGGAATGGTGGGGGTGGGAGGTGAGGCTAAAAAGGAATTTGGGGAACAGTGAGAGGTCTTATACGGCACAATAAGGAATATGGATTGTGTCCTGCAGACACTGTGATGCCACAAATGTGGAGGATCAGCACCGTCTGGTGGAGACCGATGGATTGGAGGAGCTCAGTAATTAGGAAAACGTTCTACAAAACGTTTTGAAAGTAAAAGCATACCTTTTAAATGTGAGAAATACTAAGTAAGTTATACTTGATGGCTTTGATATTTCTCACCATGAACTGAGAATAAGATTTACTGCTGTACTAAATGGGACCGTTAAAAGCAAAGGTGCCAGATTTAGACTGCCAGGATTTAAATCTCACCCGATAACTGTTTGACCTTAGCCTAGTCATTTAAGCCCTCTGTGCCTCAATTTCCTCTTTTGAAGAACAGAAAAACAACAATCTACCTCATAAGGCTGTAGTGAAGATTAAATACAATTCTGCATGAAAAACACTTGAAAAAGTGCCTGGCACATTGTAAACATTTAATAAATGTCAGCTGCTATTATTATCCTATGATTAGTAATATGACTTGTGATACATCCATGTTAAAGAGATCACAACTAAGGGAGTAATCAACAAAGTTTAAAAAGCTGTCAGGAAGGTGAGGATAGAAATCCAGAAACTAAGCCTTATGCTAAGTAGAGAAGGAGGCAAATGGTTGAAATCTATCTTCTCTGGCAGTCATAAGATGTGCACATAATGATAGCATATCACCTTAGCACCTGTAGTTCAGGGACTCTTAAAGTTAGCCATCAAGGAGAGGCTTATTCAGCATTCATAAAAGAAAACGTAAGCCATATAAACATTTCAAAGACTTCATAAATTGAGAAATAAAAGTTACAACTCAGGATCAGATATACCATACAAGAATGGCCAGATTTGGGTTTTTGTTCAGTTCTTATTTGGAATGTTCTGATTGTTCTAATTAATAAATGCAGTAGACAAAACTGAGTTTTAGAAGAATCCTGAAATATAGCTAAAGCCATGCCAACAATTTTCTGTAAAGAATTATATAATGCAAAGACTTTAATTTGCAAAATGCTTAAATATTATGGCTCCTGACATTTTAAACTTCTACGAAAAACTAGTGACATGAAACAGAAAAAGGCGTTTGAGGATGTCTAAGATTTCCTCCTCACTGATCTCTTCCACTTACCTGGTGTGTGTTGAGATTGCAAAGTAGGACGTCTCCAGAAGCTGTGGCCACACACACAGACTCGTGATCCAGCAACTCCTGAATACCAACAATGCAGCCACTTCCATCCTCTGGGAGAAAGCCTTCTGCCACCAGAGGAATTTCATTTTTCACCTTTCACCAAAACAAATAAGCAAATTAAGTCAATCTACTTTCAAGAACAATTCATCACACTTCCAGAAATACTTTTTAATGCTTCTTTTATAATATAAAAGCTTTCAAAAATGTTTTTTTCCTAGATTAAAACCCAAACTTTCATTTGAGAAATTTCACACCACTACCATCTTTAACACAAAACACAGGTCATGTGACCTTTGTGCCAAGCAAACATAAAAGCCTGGTATCTTTGAAAATATCCAATAAAACATGAAGCTAATAACTATGATTTTCTAAAATGTATACACTATGGGGAAAAGGGACTAAGAATGTAATCACCTAAAATACATTAGTAGCAGAATATAATTAAGGGAAGGTGTCAGAATCAACCTAAAGAGCTTTTCAATATACATACGCTCAAGCTCCAGAAGTGAAGATTCTGATGTAGTTGGTATGAGACGGAGACTGAAAAAATTTAAAAAGCCCTACAGGAAATTTTCACCTGCATTCCCACTTGAGAACTGTTAATAGATAGTATTTACATGGTAGAAAGGGTAAAAAGTCGGGCACCCCACAAAATACAATGTCAAAGCTCTGCCAGCTTAGATTAAAACAGAAGCAGACTAAAAGACAGGGTACTAGTTAAGTTATGTCTAATATGACATCAGTATAAAGCGAAGGGAGCATTCATTTGCGGGGGACGTAAATTCAGAAAGATTTAAAGGAAAGACTATTTGGGGAAGCAAGTTTGGAAAAAGACAAGTCAAGAGTCATGCCAAGTGCTAGCACCCTCCATCAATAACTTACCTCTCTTACGACAGGGTCTACTTCTATCAGTCCATGTTCTGAGCCAATGAGCACTGTGTCCTGTTCAGTTCGGAGAGAGAAGCACTGAGGTTTCCCTGGAGCCTGAATATCCCTGAACTCCAAGCTCCGAAATAACTTTAGATTTCTCATGATGAAGCGACTCCTGAAAGAAAAGTACAAATATCTCCTGATGACACTTTAATTTCTCTGAGAAATAGAAACAGCTTAGTAGCGATAAATCACACTCCAATATAAGCAAAATGATTCAGGGAGCAGAGAAGTTAGAGTAACCGAGAAAAAAAAGATCTAATCTGAACCCACACAGAGATGAGTGGTAGCAACCTAACCAGCTGTGTAAATCTACGGTCTACAAATTGAGGCTGTGACATCTATTTTACGTTCTCACTCTTTGAAAGAGGCAAGATTCTCAACTTCAGAGTTTTTTCTTCAAAAAAGATTTAACATCAGTTATTCTGAAGGAAAGTTGAGGAGAATGCAATGAATGAGAAAACATTTTATTTTGCACATGAGGATATTTTATAACTTGACAGATTACAAAATAATATAAAAATCCACATATATACTGGCAGTGGAAGAAAATAAAATTACTTTAATATCACCAACTACATTTATTTATAAACTGGCTCTATATCTTCCTTAAAAAACTAAAATTGAAATCAAACATAGAAATAAAGAAAAGCAGTTATGGGACTTCCCTGGTGGTACAGTGGTTAACACTCTGCGCTCCCGAATGGGAGAAAATATTTGCAAATGAAGCAACTGACAAAGGATTAATCTCCAAAATTTACAAGCAGCTCATGCAGCTCAATAACAAGAAAACAAACAACCCAATCCAAAAATGGGCAGAAGACCTAAATAGACATTTCTCCAAAGAAGATATACAGACTGCCAACAAACACATGAAAGAATGCTCAACATCATTAATCATTAGAGAAATGCAAATCAAAACTACAATGAGATATCATCTCACACCAGTCAGAATGGCTATCATCAAAAAATCTAGAAAGAATAAATGCTGGAGAGGCTGTGGAGAAAAGGGAACACTCTTGCACTGCTGGTGGGAATGTGAATTGGTTCAGCCACTATGGAGAACAGTATGGAGGCTCCTTAAAAAACTACAAATAGAACTACCATACGACCCAGCAATCCCACTACTGGGCATATACCCTGAGAAAACCAAAATTCAAAAAGAGTCATGTACCAAAATGTTCATTGCAGCTCTATTTACAATAGCCCGGAGATGGAAACAACCTAAGTGCCCATCATCGGATGAATGGATAAAGAAGATGTGGCACATATATACAATGGAATATTACTCAGCCATAAAAAGAAACGAAATTGAGCTATTTGTAATGAGGTGGATAGACCTAGAGTCTGTCATACAGAGTGAAGTAAGTCAGAAAGAAAAAGACAAATACCGTATGCTAACACATATATATGGAATTTAAGAAAAAAAATGTCATGAAGAACCTAGGGGTAAAGCAGGAATAAAGACGCAGACCTCCTAGAGAACGGACTTGAGGTTATGGGGAGGGGGAAGGGTGAGCTGTGACAGGGCGAGAGAGAGTCATGGGCATATACACACTAACAAACGTAGTAAGGTAGATAGCTAGTGGGAAGCAGCCGCATGGCACAGGGATATTGGCTCGGTGCTTTGTGACAGCCTGGAGGGGTGGGATAGGAGGGTGGGAGGGAGGGAGACGCAAGAGGGAAGACATATGGGAACATATGTTTATGTATGACTGATTCACTTTGTTATAAAGCAGAAACTAACACACCATTGTAAAGCAATTATACCCGAATAAAGATGTTAAAAAAAAAAGACTCTGCGCTCCCAATGCAGGGAGCCCAGGTTCGATCCCTGGTCAGGGAACTAGATCCCACATGCATGTCACAACTAAGAGTTTGCATGCCACAACTAAGGAGCCCATGTGCCGCAACTAAGAGCCCTCCTGCTGCAACTAAGGAGCCCAAGTGCCACAACTAAGACCCAGAACAACCAAATAAATAAGTAAATATTATTTTTTAAAAAAAGAAAAGCATTTATTGTTCTCAGGGAGAAAAGAAGACACTACTTCAAAACGATGACCAACAATTCAAGGAGCTTCATAACCTGATATAACTACTTCACATTATTCCACTTTCCTGGCCTGATTTTCACCAGGGCAGTAGAAAAGCTGAGAAAAGAACGATCAATAGGAAATCTACCTTGGTCTGACAAAATCAGACTTGTTTTAACGTATAATATTACCTAAGAGGAAAAAAAAGTTAATGTGCTGTATATTTATATCCAGACCTCTTTAAGGTTTATACTGTAATTGGAAGTCCCTAACTTATATTAGGGGTGACAATTACACAGACCACACTGGCCTTCTTGTCACCTTAATCCAAGGTGAATTCTCTCATCTTGCATTTCCTACTTATGACAATGAAAGAATAAACATGAATTAATCCTTATACTACATAGCAGATAAAATGTTAAGTGTAGTAGAATGAGACAACATAAAATGTGGGTTAAGAGGAAGGCAAGCCCACACGGTGGAAGTGAGGAAGAGAATCATGGCAAACAATGGTTTTGTGCGCTTTCATGAGTTATATTCAAGAACTTCTAGAAATTATTCGAACCTGTATTATACCATACAGACTTTTTATTTAGATCTAATTCTATATAGAAAGCTTGGGTTTTTGAAAGCATATAAAAATTACATTACTTTTCATCTTTAAATAACATTAAGACGACCACTGACATAGATCTGAAAGGATGGGTGGATTTGAGAGGAGAGGATGTCTGGCTAGAGGGGAGTAAACACAGGACAGAGCAGGAAGAGGTGAAAACAGACAACAGAGGACCAGATGTATTTCAACCTGATTTAGCTGATAATAATTATCTTGTAATTGTTGCCATGATCAGAGCATCAAAATGTCTTCCTGTGAACTTGGATTCTATTCACCAACAATCCGTGGAGCTCTGGGGTCCGTGAACCCCAGCATAAGAATTTGGAAGGCAAAGGCAGAAGGAGCTGAGGAGGACTCCCTTTTTCCTGTTACCTTGCTGTTTCAGTCAATGTCACCCCAGCAATGGGCCTTCATCCTTCCAGGGGCCCTTGGTCCCAGCCTCTGGCACTCCCATGACTAGCATGATAACAACCACCCCAGAGGTACCAGCACTAACCAGGCCAGTACTCCCTCCAGGTGCCTGAAATCTAGTACCATGGAGCTCCTCCTCTGAATTCCAGAGCTATCAACGCCAGCTTTCCAATGCCTCTCCTCCCAGGTCATGATAACCCCAATGGCTTCCCTTGTTTTGATCCTCAGACCTAGCTAAGTGTTGTAACTGCTTTCAGCAGTTTACTTTTTTAATTACTTCACTGCTCCCTTTTGCTTTTTGTTCCTCCAGCAGGTATTTAACCAATTCTTCGTATTAAATTCTGTTGAAATACTGTGTGGTTTCTACTTTCCTGACTGGACCCTAACTGACAAACATATCAAACAACCTGAGTTCTCAAATCACTGTGCTTTCAAAATCACCGGCCAAGTGTCACAGGGAAGAACCTTTTGTATTCTATTACAAGTTAATCACTAAAGGGATGCAGCCTATAAGCTAAAATTACACATAATGACCCAACTCTCAGAACCCTGACTCCCAGGTAATGTGCATTAAGCTAAAATACTTTTATTTAGCTCACAAGAAACATCCTGACCAGGCCCACCTGTGAATGCCTGCAGGGAGGAAGAAATTAACACATCCCCTCTGGAGGCTGATGGGAACCAGGAAATGTTTGACTTTACTCCCTCCCCTTTTAGTATAAAAGAAGCCTTAATTCTAACTCAGGCAAGATGGGTCTTTGGGGGCACGAGCCCACCATCTTGGTTTGCTGGCTTTCCAAATAAAGTCGTTATTCCTTGCCCCAACACCTCGTCTCTCGATTATTGGCCTGTAGTGTGGTGAGCAGTACGAGCTTAGGCTTGGTGACACAAGGGCAGCTCATCATTCATCTCCCTCCTCCCCAACCCTTCCAGCCTCAAAGTGAACTTCTCTAAAATTTCACACCTATCAGCCTTATTCCCTTACCTTCTCAGAAGTGTCCTACTCTTTTTCAAGACCAGCAAAGGAGAACGCTCCAAACTCCCCCAGGACCTTGGTTTATTGGTACCCTTTCTTTTACATCTGCAATCTCCAACTCCCCTGCCCTCAAACGACTCATCCTTTCTCAGCCCTTAAATGCGCTAAAGATCTCTCCACACCATAGATCAATTCTGGATCCTCTCTGAAATTTCTGACAACTCCTCTATTTTCTTCCCTTGCTCCTTCATCCATCCACCTCTTGGCTAATTATCGTGCCCATGACCACAAATACCAAAGAGATCACTAATATGCTTAGTAGATCTAAACGTCCAGCCCTGACCCTCCCTAAACTGAACACTCAACTCACATTTTCAACCTCCTGCTGTTACCACAAGGATTTCTCAAAAAGCACATCAAATGCAACCTGTTAAATGAAGTACCTGCTATTCTCCACCAAACTAGTTTCCCCTCTGGGGACATGGCATTCCTACTTTCTCTGTCCTCCAAGCTGAAGCTGTGTCTGCTTCCCTTTTGCCCACACTTTCACAGTAACCTATTCATTGGTTACTGCCCTGCCTGTCAATGCTCGGTTTGAATCCTTTTACACAGTACCGTAATCCTACGATCCGGTTTGTGGCCTACATCATATACCGACTGAGCACTTGCTAAGTGCTAGTTCTGGAGAAGAGATGACTGACAGTTACTGCCTCCTCAGAGGTCACAGCTTAACGGGGGAGAGGGCCACATAAGATACCACATCACATGGAGATGCACGGGGACAACACCTCCAAGGAAAAGTTGCAGATGCGAGAAGCGACTCGCAGCACAGCACCTGAACTTCTATTACCGTCAGCTTCTATCATGCATTGTTGCGCTTTAATTGGTGCATTACTTGGTTCGGCGGTATAGTCCGCAACTGCAAGGAATCCGAAGACTGGGTAAGTGTGCAGCTGGGGGAGCAGCATATGATTCCCCCTCCTGCCGCGCCGCGCAGAGCCCTCTGATGGCCGTGGGTGCAGCAGGCGGCGAGTCTGCAGAAAGAGAACTCAAGGAGCGCAGAGGTGGTCAAGCCGCACTTCACTCCCAGACCAGCAGCAGGCAGCGGTTGGGCGCTAGGGGGTCCCCTTCAACAGGGCACCCTCTGGCGGACAGGGCCCGTTTCCATGCCCCCACCCCAGCTAGGCCGCTCGAACGCTCACCTACGCCGCGCTCTGAGGAAACGCAAACAGCGGTGCGTCCGCCCAGGGCTGCGCACGGGCCTCTCCCTGACCGTGCTTCTGTGCTCTCACGACGCGCACTGGGTCTCCGGGTCGCCAGATCGCTCGAGCCCCTCCGGTAGTGGCGAAGCCAGGCGGAGGGGCGACCTGCGAAGCATGTACTCGCAAGCGAAGAGAGCCCCACACGCGCCGAGCGGCGGCGCAGTGATGTCGTGAGCCGAAGGGGGCGCGGCCTGCCTTCTCCGTCTTCCCGCAAAGATATATGTGGAGCTGTGCTGGCCGCCGCCCCCTATCCCTACATCCTCCTTCCCAGCCTATTGTATTTGATCCCCGCCTTGACGTCAGACGCCAAAGCTCAGTTAAGTGGGGCCGGTGGGTGGAGCCTGCGGAGCCTGGGGAGCAGAGCGCGTGCGCGCAATGCGCGTGCGTACACCGCGTGTTTCGGCTACACGCCGGAAAGACGTCTTACTCCGCGGCAAGCGGGAGGAAGAGTACAGGCCCCAGAGGGCGGGGTTTGCAGCACCCGAGGTCGCCATGGCTACCGAGCCTGAGACCCCTGTGGCCGCCTCAGCTAAGGAGCCCGCGGTGCCGTCGCTTGTGGATCGTTACTTCACTCGCTGGTACAAAGCGGGTAAGTGGAGAATGATGTCAGTCTCTTCTGGGCCCAATTTGTCTGACAGTATAGGGACTATGATGAGAGATCATAAGCCACGCGCACCTTCCCCAGCCCTTCCTCCCCACGTCAGAAGGAACTGGATCTCTCTGTTCCTCTGTAGGCCAAGGGAATGGCATTTGCAAGGACGTGGAAAACAGCAGGGTGCATTCTGGGTTGGGCGAGCGCAGTGCGAGTTCACGAGGGTGGGGTCGCTTGCGGGAAGATGGTAGACTAAGGTGAGATCCCCGAGGGAGGCAGGAGCTGGATTGCAATCTCCTTGAGTGCCTAAAGGGATTTGAGGGGCTCAGCCCTCCAAGAAGAGGCGATACATAAAATGATTTAAATGGTAGCGGTCTAAACTAAGGTAGAGGCATAGGGATGGAGAGGAGAGGGTGGGTTAGAATAGAGGCATTTAGAAAGCAGAATCTACAGTTTTACTTAAAGGAAGTCGCTGGTATTACACATTTGCCACTTAGAAGTAGGTATCCTGTTGTACAGCTTTGTGTACCCAGCAAATATCAGTGATGAGAGCATCGTCGGGGACCCTCCTCTAGCCCAACTTGCTCCCATTCATTTAGGGATAATAGGTGTACTCATCTTTTACAATACTGAAATATTTTACAATAACATACGTTTTATTAGCCAGACTTAGTGTAACCAACTGTCCGGTTAACCCTGGACTGAGGTGTTTTTGGGAATCCATTACTTTCAGCGCTAACATCAGGACAGTCCTGAGCGAACCAGAATGAGTTAAGTCTCTCTAAAACTGACCAACAAAGCATGCTACTAAATTAAATAAAGAATACATTACTAATGACTTTTGTTCTAATAGAAATGATTGTACTCATTTTAAAGTGAGGATAAAAAAAGGTGGAGCAAAGAGTTAACCATCATTTTAACATTGAATGAATGATTCCATCTGGACCAGATGTCTTTAAATACTTTATGGTCAGCCTTTAGGTATATCTTTTTGAGTAATGAAGGGATACCAGTGATATATGTGTCCCGCCTTCATAATTAACTACGTCTATGAACCAAAGAAAGTACTACACAGTGGTAGTAAATATTGACTCAACAGCCGTCAGACTCATTCATTTTTTCTAGATGTCAAAGGAAAACCCTGTGAGGACCACTGTATACTCCAACACTCTAACCGGTAAGCAAATTGGGAATTTTAAATGATCAAAGAAATTTATTTCTGTCATTGTAGCCTGGTATGGTCTTGTATTGAATAAATATTCATTAAATGATTATCTTCCACTGTATTGAGATGGTATTATTTATAGTAGGAGTTTGGTTGACAAGAATGAGTCTTGCAGTGCCTAAGCTAAACAAATAAACTTGCTTACCCAAACATCCAAATGGAGGACCACACCCTCAGTCGGCTACTACCTCAAGAAACCAGCCTGTGCCTAACCACTGAAGTGGCCAAGCCCGTGGAGAGGGCTAGGGTAGAAGCACAGATGGTATCCTGTCCATACCGGCATGCCTTACTTTTCTCTCTTCCTCCTCCGTGCTGTCTAAACACCTGTAGTACGCTTCCCTTTTGGGAAAGGAAATTCAGTCCCATTTTCCCCATTTTTATTGCTGCATTCTTCTCTTCAGTTAAGCTCCAATAGTAGCCAGAGGAAAATGGGGGGAAATGATAGGCTGACTAAACAAATGTCAGCTCAGCTCTTCTTGTGCCAGTAGGAATACTGTGTTATAGGAGGAAGAATCATACCAAGTAATAATACAGGATCCATTTTTGCTCCTCGTAGAATATGTGTCATCACACTGGCAGGATCCCATCCAGTTCTTCAAAGTGGAAAAGTAATTAAAAGCATTTCCTATCAAATCAGTACCAACTGTAGCAGACTTCAGAACAAAGTCTCTGGGAAATTTAAGCGGGTATGTTCCTGTATTTCTCTACTTAAATCCTCTATTGTCATAGTAATGGTAAAGCCAGCCAGTCTTAGAACCCAGTAATGTATGCTCAGCATACTTCCCTGGCAGTCAGAGATGATTTTAAGAATACTTAAGCTCTAAAGAAATTCTCAGGCCAAAATAATGAGGTATTTCAGAAGGTATATTATCTGTCATATTAGCTTCTGGGCCACCATCCCTGTCATCCCCAGGATGAAGGATGGAGAAGGTGGGCCTTTGAAAGAACAACACTAATACCAATATAACAAGATATTTTGTCCCTTCCTGTTTTGTTAAGCCAGTATTTCGAATTCTATAAAATTCAGATGATCAATACTTCTTTATCATATATTTTCACATGTGAACTTAAAAGTAAAATAAAGTCCTGAGGTAGTGAAAAAAAAATCAATCTGGGAAAATATACAGTATTTGCTTCGTATCAGTTGCCATTGCTAACTCATTGCCAATTTAATACACATCTAGCTACACCCTCTACCTCCACATAGTGTTTAGTTATAGAAAATGTTACCTGTGCCCTCTACAATTCTAGGCAAATGGACATTTTACTGTTAAAGGAGGGTATCACACCAAGGACAACTCAAAACCATACTAAACTATCCTAACAAACCCCCTGGAAAGGAAAGTTTCAGTGGATGATTTAGGTCCTTCATTTACTGAGTTCATACTAAGGGTTCCTGCTAATTACCTCACTGTTCTGGAAGACCCTTGTTTACACTCCCCTTTGTAGGCTTGAAGGCCCCTAATAACCTGCCTTATAATTATTGACCTTTCCTCACTCAGGAAGCAAGTGGACTTTAAAAAGCATGGACCATTCTTAAAAGTCTACAAATTACAAGTAAAACAGTTAGTGCTTGTGATGTTCCTGTGATCAATCTTTGTCCAAAATAGTAACATTGTTGTTACTGCTGAGGAACAGAGAGGGACCTGCACATGGAACCCACTGTAGATAAGCTTTGATCGCATCTCAGCACTGCCCATCATTTATTCTCCCAAGGGAGGTGACCAAGAGGGGTTAAAACACTTCTTTCTGAAACAGAGCCAGTGGTAGACAAACCATCTGGGACAAATACCCAGCCCCTCCTCCCAAAAGTGGGGAGTCACTGACTAGTCTTTTGAAACGAAGTACCCACAGGCAGAGGAGTGAAGCTCATGCAGTAACACCTGAATGCTGTCTAATAAAGTTGTGAGTGGGAAAGAGGCCATAAAGAACAGCATCTTGACCTCAGATGTTCACTGCAGTAAAAATTCCTGGGAAAAAAGAGCAGCACATGAGACATGCTTGCATCCATTTCCCATGAGCCTCCTTGTACTGGGTTGGCCAAAAAGTTCGCTCCGGTTTTTCATGTTAGGGAAAAACCTCCATGAACTTGGTGGCCGACTCGATAGATATTTGTCAGAACCTCCCCAGATATATCCATACAGTGGAGTACATGAAAATATAACCGTGCCACAACATTCAAACAGACATATGTCAAAATGTAGTATTTGCTAGCAGGTTATAGGATAATGGGTAAGTTACTCTATATGCTACTTAAAACTTTTCTGTTTTCCAGATTTTCCTCAAATTGCTTTTTTTAAAATTAGAAAAATATCCCTTCTCCAGAAAGTCTCAGTGATTGACCTAATAAAGAAGTTCCTTTCTCTATTAAGTTCTGATATAAAAATAAGGTAGGAATCTTAATGAAACTAACTTTATACAATATTGCGATCATTCTCTATAATGTTGAATTTTATATTATGCTTATTGATGAGATTTTCCTACCCTTTTGAAGTCTTTACACTTGGCTATGTGCAGCTTTCTCATGTACAGTTAAATATAAAGTATAATAAGTTAAGATAAAATATATTCTTAATATGTAACTAAACTACCTATTATCACATTTGTCTTAGTCTGCTTTTTCCCCTAGAGCCTAGGATGGTGCCTAGCCCATAGAGGCATTTAATATATAAATATTTGAATAAATGAATGGTTTTTCTGTACTTAAGTCATTTGTATTTAAAACACTAATTCCAGGAATATATCCTATTGTAACTCTGAGGGCTGCCTCACAAAGAAAAGTGAAAATGTACATCAATTAATTTTTTCTTCCCTTTTATTATCAGGGGGCACAGTTTCTAACAGAACTTGCACCTCTGTGTAAGATTTACTGCTCTGATGGAGAAGAATACACCATATCTAGGTGAGTTACTTTTTAACCACAATTTTGGAGAAACAAAGAAGATAATATTTTTCTTCAAAGCAATATTTTCTTTAAATAGCTGTGTTAGAGGACGGTTGATGGAAGTGAATGAAAACATTCTCCATGAGCCATCTATTCTTCAAGAGAAGGTAAAAGGGTCTGGGGAAGTAAGATCCCATCCACACACTTTTTACCTGATGTTTTACCATTTGACAGTGTTAAATATTCTATTTCCCTTCTAGCCATCCACCGAAGGATACATTGCAGTTGTGTTGCCCAAGTTTGAAGAAAGTAAAAGCATAACAGAAGGGTTACTGACACAAAAACAGTATGAAGAAGTCGTGGTAAAACGCATCAGTGCCACAACAGCGACCTCATGAGGAGTAAGAGTGAGTGAAAACAACAGGGCATTCTTATCCTTACCTGGCCTACCAGTCAGTGCACTAAGGAAGAACCAGAGATGCTGAAGCATACTTCACACCGGACCATCCGCAGGGAGGCCTGATCTTAAAACCTGACCTAGGTTTCCTTCTTTGTCTTGCATAACAAGCCTTGATTCCATTTTGTCTTCAACCTCCCAGATCTGCCTGCCCATGGACTCACTCTGTTCTTTTGCTTTTCTCTTTCTAACAACTGGCAAGCGACATGTTTTTCTGATTAAAAACCAACAAACAAAGCACTTTGAGGAAAATTTGAAAAGACAGAAAAGTAAAAATAATTTACCCATCATCCTGTAACCCATTAGTAAATACTAGGTTTTGATGTGATTCTGTTTGAGTATTATGTCATGGTTATTGTTTTTGCCTCAATTTTCCATCACTTTGAAGTTGAAAAACAACAACTGGCCTTTCTTACCCAATCTGCTTCAGTGTGACACGACCGAAACGTCTGGTCCCACCCCTTCTGCCCCAACTCCCCCGCTCAGGTTGCTGGGAAGTGGCAGAGTGTAGAGTGTACCTTCTCTATGTCTATGGGTTGGCCTTCAACTCTGAACAATGTAGCACTGTAACACTGGTTTCTTAATGAGGGACACATGAAGAGGCTTTGAAAGGGGCTTTGCTAACATGGAAGTACCAATATTATAATGCTGTATGAAGTAACATGTGCATTTGTGGTCACTCAGTCTCACACTCTAGTTACAGGGTAACCAGCAAAGAAGTTCCCAAGGGGTTCCTGGAATTCAAAGACACACATGCTTTTGAACAGAACAAAAGCTTTCACATCATTTAAACAATAAACAAAAAACTATGAATTCATGGTTTAAGATTGTATACTTATTTACATTGAATTTCAAATAAAAGGACTTTCCACATTGGTATTTTTCCTTAAGGGCTGCAACACATACATACATATAAACATTTCTGTTTTTAAATAAAACAATTATCCTTGAGTATAAATTCTTTTAGTTCTCCATCATCTTTTGCTGTTCAAGTCGTGTTATCCCTTCCCTACCCCTACTTGCATTTAAATAAGAGAATATTCTCTTTTGAGTTATGTAAAATATTTTGTAAATAAAATTTTAAAATTATTTTTGACTCACAAGGAAACTTCTTTTAACCCTAACTCTCCCTTAAGTATACCCAATGGACATGATACAGGTAGTAATTATAGAAACATCTACCTTGATGGTGCTATGAGCTGACAGTGTAAGCACAAACCAGCAAATCCCCATTTCAGGTAGCACAAATGGTTCCCAAAGGTGTCATAAAACAAAGATACTAAAGATAGTAAAAGAATTATGTATCTATTTTACATATAACATTACCTCACATCATTTTCCCTATATTTCCATTGTAATTTAAAAGAGTATTTTGGTTTCAGGGCATAAAAATCATGTTTGATGATTTTTATAAAGGTCATAACCAAGCTGAGTGCATCCCATTTTCTCTCCAATGCCTACAGTAAATTCAAGTTTGCCTAAATAAAATATTGACTAGCTAACTGGTGGTTCTTCAGGATCTTGTGAACATTGACTGTGATGGCTGACCCAGATACCGATCATCAGACGAGCCTACAGAACTACTGCCGTTTGGCAACTGACATGTCCCGTTAGATTTCAAAATAAATTTCAGGGCTTCCCTGGTGGCGCAGTGGTTGAGAGTCTGCCTGCCAATGCAGGGGACACGGGTTCGAGCCCTGGTCTAGGAAGATCCCACGTGCCATGGAGCAACTGGGCCCATGAGCCACAAATACTGAGCTCTGTGCGTCTGGAGCCTGTGCTCCGCAGCAAGAGAGGCCGCGACAGTGAGAGGCCCGCGCACCGCGATGAAGAGTGGCCCCCACTTGCCACAACTACAGAAAGCCCTCGCACAGAAACGAAGACCCAACACAGCCAAAAATAAATAAATGAATAAATAAATTTAAATAAATAAATAAATAAATTTCAAAGCATCGGGATACAAGCACAAAAAACAAAGTTAACTATACTACACCATAAAGACAGAACTTATAACCAGATCCTTCAATCAAAACCCACCCCACAAAAACAAAAGCTTTAAACCCTAAAATTAAAAAGACTAAAGTCATTTATTTAATGAATATTTCAAAGGCACATATGTATACTTACTCAAATTATTTTGAACAGCTTAGTTCAATTGTTCTCTGTCTTCTATCTTCTGTTCCATCAGTTACTACTGAGATGTACAAAAACTGCTTTTTAAGCCAGTAAAATAAGCTTAGGATTCCAGCTAATATTCAGGGCAGACAGGCCAGCTATGCTAGAACGAGAACTAAAACCATCTGCTAGTGAGTTCCTCCAGGATTCCGTGGAGAGAGGGACATGCATCACAACAGATTTCCTGTGCTCCGTGAAACCCTTACTAGAGAACAAACATGTGCTCCTGGCATGGATGATCTGTGACAGAGGGGACAGCAGAGGCCCAGTCATACTCAGTGGATGGAGGGATCGAAGAAGAGTCCACAGGTTTAAGGAAAGCCCTGCATCACCCAGACTACTGTGTCTCTTCTGCTGCAAATTGGTATAGTAGATGATAAGCTTAAATTAAAAAAAATAGGAAGTTAGGGTAAAATGTGCCAAAGGTGAGCATATATTCAAAATAGCTTCTTTGGATTAAATTGTTATTAAGACAGAGGGATATTTGGTTTGACTTCTAAGGAACATTATTCATGGCAATGTCCCATTTAAAATCACACTGCAATTAGAAATATAGCAACTACCATGGCATTTATAGTTGTCAGAAAGCTTCACAATTGGTTTCATGATCAGAAAATAAAGCAAGATTTCAGTTTGTTTTCTTTACAAAATTGTTCTATTTCTGAAATATAAAGGATCGTTTGCTTTCTAAAAATGTCAGCTTTGCCACATGGTGTTCCAGAGATCTGACCTCAAAAGCTTCTCAAGTTTTACCATCCACAGAATCTTTATTTGTAACTGAGACTCATCTGTTGTTGTCCATTTGAAGCTGGAAACAATTAAGACAATTACTTTCTGCTTTACTTTTAAAATAAAAATTGCAAAATTAAATAGTATCTATTTTCTTTTGCATTTTCCTTTAGACTAATTTTTTTTTTTTTTTTTTTTTATGCGGTACGCGGGCCTCTCACTGTTGTGGCCTTTCGCGTTGCGGAGCACAGGCTCCAGACGCGCAGGCTCAGCGGCCATGGCTCAAGGTCCAGCCGCTCCGCGGCACGTGGGATCTTCCCAGACCGGGGCACCAACCCGCGTCCTCTGCATCGGCAGGCGGACTCTCACCCACTGCGCCACCAGGGAAGCCCTAGACTAATATTTTTAATGTGAATTTAAGATACACAAATTATCTTACCTTCTTCAGCAGTTTATAGCAAAGCGACAGAAGTTGGACCAAAGTAGCCATTATGCATCTTGTCTTTGTAATACTCTTATCAACCTATAGTGACAGAAAGCAAGCAAATCAAATTCTTATAAGGAGGCCTTCAAAAGACTTTAGCATTTAGTTTGAAAATGGTAAACATTTCTTCATTATAGGGATCTCAAAGGGTATACAGATTAAGGCATCTGAGCTGACTTGATGACCTGAGGTCCCAGAACACAGAAGCAGGGATTGTTGCCCAAGTCTCATGCCAATTTCATGGACCCCAGGAAGAATGGATGGAAAATCAACCTGTTCTATTTCAGATGGTTTAGGGGCTTCTCAAAGGGCACCAAATAGTGGCAGTGAACCCCTTTCTTTGCAACTCCTTTCACTCTACTTTTTTTCACTCAAACTCCCTAAAACAAACAACAGAAGCCCTTCACTCTGAGGTGTCTGTGCCCTAGTTAGTCAGGTGATGATGTTGGGATTTAAGGGTAGCTGCTCCGTGCTATGGAATTAATCATGTCCAAAAAGCTAATTTACTTGGTGAACCTACTACTTCCTGGGGTCAGTTATAACTGCAGATGATAAATGGTTCTTGCAGTCAAGGCAGGAAAAATGGAAATACATGGTTCTTCTGTGGGTATTAACACTTTATTTGAAGAAAAAGGGGCTGGAAGCTAACCTAATAAAAAAAGAAGTGTGAAAGTTTCTCAAGCGCTTTCCTGAATGTCCCACCCTCCCTTTTACCTTTAGAAACACTTGATTCTGCAAAGGTGTCTTAGTTACTGCCTGGAGCTGGTGGCACAGAGGAACAAGCTTGTTTATTTCCAGGAGAAGCATAAGCTTATCATCATCTTTCAGCTGAAATGTAAATAAGGAAGTTATAACACCTCCAATGAAATTCCATCTTTTAAACCTTAAATACCTTTATACCTTAATAATATACCCTCAAAGTGGGTATTTATGACATCACCACCAGCACCAGGCAAGGATATGAGCATTACCTGTTTTGAGAAAGCTTGCACACTTGAAGCAAGCTTCAAACCCTCTTCAGCAAAAACCTGGTAGAAAGGAAAAACATCACTACGTTAGGCGTATGTCATCTAGACAGTTGGTAAGAAATACACTCATGGATAATTTTCATACAGAAGTTAAAAAATAAAACCTAAACATAAAAGGTCTGTCATGGAACTTCTATGTTTTTTGTTGTATCCAGGAAAACACAAGAGTTTAACAGTATTCAGAAGCAGATTTCCCAGACCTGATGCAGAATCAGTCCCTGCAGTGGCTCCCCTACACCGGGACACCTCCAATTACTGTGCAGGATCACACAGACATTTGATACTTAGCCATAAAAATTATGCCTGGGCTTTTAGATGGATCCGAAGCTCATCTCATAATATCCCCAATTATAAGAGGGTGTTGAATCTTGGAACATGGGGTCAAAAGGCTTAGATGAGGTCAAAAGTGTTAGAACATTCCTGCTTCCAGCTCAGCAAGATAGAATTTGTCACCTATACCATTCTTCAACTAGCCATTTGAGGGGATTATTTTTTCCCTATTGACCATACATTGTACAATTTAGTGAGGAGAAGAGGATGATGGGAAAGAATACTGAAAAATACTTTAGAATATTCGGGATGATTATTTTTAAGTGGTACACAGAGTCTTTTAGAGTGAGAGACACCAGGGAAGTGAAGACTGAACTTCAGGTGGCAGCAGGAAGAATGAAAAGAATAGGGCAAATTTGAGAGTGATTTGTGAAGAAAAATAACAGATCTTGGTAATAAATTAGATAAAGCATATGAAGAGGAAGGAGGCAATAATTTCAGGGTTAACTTTAATTTTCTTTCCAACAGCCTTGCTATCATTGGATAACCTGATCTCAAGGTCAAATTGTCCTTCACATCCTTCCCTATCCTTTAAAAGGGAAAATAATGTGGGCTTCTCATTGCCATGGCTTCTCTTGTTGTGGAGCTCAGGCTCTAGGCGCGCGGGATCAGTAGTCGTGGCTCGCGGGTTCTAAAGCACAGGCTCAGTAGTTGTGGCTCATGGGCTTAGTTGCTCCGCAGCATGTGGGATCCTCCCAGACCAGGGCTAGAACCCGCCTGCATTGGCAAGCGGATTCTTAACCACTGCGCCACGAGGGAAGTCTCTATTCCAACTTTTTAAAAAGGGAAGAACTCACTTATAGTCAACTTTACAGAAAATTCCAAATGAAGTATTTTCTATAATTCTGCTGACTCTGTTGACAATCATCCTCTCAAGCTGAAATCCCTTCCCTGAAGAGGCTCAGGTGAAAGCACATGGGAATGCCAAAGGAAAATACGTAAAGTTGATAAAGTGATAGAAATTTCAGATTTCAAGTGCAAGAATGCCCTCGGTTCTAGAGAGGCAAACAGACTAACATGCGCGTCAGGGAATTAAGAAAGGACTCTGTAATCCACTTATCAATCTAAGCCTCCAGGTAAGCGAGGAGAATTAGAGCTGGGCCTATGTGGAGTTTCATGAGACACACAGGGCAGAAGGGTGAGTGTCAGTATATATGTCTCTCCCTGAATGCCCTAAATCATCAGGAATATAGAGGAAGAAAAGGAAACTAACATGCACTGAGAAGCTATAATGGTCTCAGCCCCATGACAGATGCTTTCTTATGTGTTATCTCATTTAATCAATATCATTCATCCAATTCAATAATGAAGAAACCAAAAACCTTTCCTCGCATTCAGGACAGTATAAGAGAAATCCATTTGCTGATAGGATATTTTCACCTACTTGGGAAAACCTGAAACTTAATATTGCATCTAGTGACTATCAAAGCCCATTCTATTTTACCCCTATAATATTTGGTTTTTGTTTTTCCAATAAGATAATCAAAAAGCTCCAAAAAATGCTACTGCAAGTCCTCTAATTTTCTACCACTATCTATAGTATACATGTGTTGTGTGCACAGGTAAACACACAATTACAGTAAGTCATTTAGAAAACTAGCTATTACCAACTTTTATGCTACAGTATTAGCATAAAATGGAAATAAAATCTACCTCTGGTTGATGAATTAAATCCTGCGAAGTTTTTAGTGGACTCTCTCTCCTGAAATAAAATGAATTATTAACGAGGTAGGAAAAAATTATTGCCTTAAATTGATTTTATACTAAAGTTTTAGAGCATTTCATGCATTAACATACCCAAATTTTGAAGAGTAATATTGAATAGACTAAAAATATTTTGAGTATTCTTAAAACAACTTTAATATTTAACTATTACTTCTTAAGGTACTTCAAAAAATTTCAGGTAAACATTATATATGTTCATTTTATGATATAAAGAAACTTAAAACTGACAAGTTATATTTAAGCTTTATTTTTCCTTTTTAAACTTTTTTATTTTGCTTCATAAGTTAAAGATATAAGACCTGATAATATGTCTTAACTAAAAGGCCTTTGTTCCATATGGAGAAAAGATCTGACCAAAAATCAGGAAATTCTCATTTTTTATTCTAATTTCAACTCTGGCAGGAATTCAGTTGTTTTTGATGAGGCATGTAAGTTAAGTTTCAATTCTGAGTCTATGAAATAATCATAATAATATTTGTGCTACCACTCTCATCAGATGATTAGGGAATATCACATTGACAACTACCAAGAAGAATTAAGTTCTGCCCTTTAACACCTATGAGACGTGAACAATATATTCTTATTCTCTGATAACCTGTTGTAAGAATCAAATGAAATTATGAAGCGAAACTACTTTAAAAACCATAAGGCACTGGTAAGTGTGAAATATTTTAAAACTATAATGTACTAGAAAATCTAAAATATATAAATTATAAAGAAATATGAGTAACTGCATATAAATGATAAAGAAATTATATAAATTGTTAAGACAACCTTAAACAATAGCCTGAAGAAAAGCAGTAAAATTGCCCAGGAAAACTACAAAACTGGATATTGTGAAAACTAACAGATGAGTCTCAGAAAGAAGCAATTAGATGAGGCTGGTAAGCCATCGTCTTAAGGGAAAACAGAAAAATTGTTTGGGAAAAAACAGGTATACAAACAGGGTGGGTAGAAAACAAAGCCAGCTTGAGATTTTACCACAGTCATATTACCAAGACTTGCCAAGTTGGCACAAGATGTAATCCATTACCATTATCCGTTCCCATCAAGAATTCTAATATATTGTCATCTATTTATTGTGTATATCTGCTCAGTCTCTTACATCTCAGGTGTATTGTTCAGAGTTTTGATTTTGATTCAGAAAGGCTGGTTTATCAGTCAGAGTCCATTAAGGAAAACAAAAACCACAGCTGTTATTTTATCAGAGAGAGTTTAATATACGCAACTGGTTAACCAAGTACTAGAGGACTGAGAAGGCAGTAAGGGAACACAGAGAAGGAACATTGAGATTGAAACCCGACAGCCGCTTGTACCCATAAAGCTGAAGGAACAAAAGGAAGAGTTGGGATTCTTAGAATTTAGACGCTTGGAGGTGAGGCCCCTGCAGATCTGGTTCTTGAACCTCAGAGAAGGGGGTGGCAGCCAGCTGGTGCTGGTATTGCCAAGGGGGCAGGATGAGGCTGGGTCTAAGCGTATAGAAATAAACAGAAACTGGAACAAACAGCTGCTGCGGGGTACAGAGCTACTGTTGAGTGAAAGCAAGTGAACAAGGGAACAAATTCCCTCTCCTTCCTCCGTCCAGCCTTGCCCTGTCCCTCTGGTGTCTGCTATTGTTGGAGCATAATGGCTGTCCAAGGAGGGGTGTTTTCTCAGGCCCCCAGTCCCAGCATCACGAGCAGTGTATAGGAAGGGTGGGTTTGGAGCTGAGAGAGAGGCTGGAAATCGGCTCACAAGCTTTCTGGGTCTCGATTTCCCCAGTTATAAATGGGGATAATACTCCCCTGTATACTTCACTGGAATGTTTTGAAGGTTAGAAGAGAAGGTAGATATAAAAGCATTTTACAAGCCATAAAAATAAAAACAACTGAGAATTAGCCTCCCATAAATACTTGAATTTACTGTAATAGGTATTTCTTAGAAGAAATGTGATCACCTTCAGAACTAATGGTTTTGAAACTAACAATTTATAATGCTTCCCCATGTCCTCCCTTATCCTCATCTATTCAGATCATGTTAACATCTAAGATACCAACCTACGAGTCTTCTAGGGGAAATGACCAGGTAAATTGTGTTTTTGCTTTGATTGGTAAAGCATGGTAATGTCATCTGTGCAGGATACCATGGGTCACATGGCAGTGTTTTGAGCACCTGACATCACTGCTGAGAGTGCGCCAGGAGAGAACACACAGACCTGAGTGAAGGCGAGGCGGAGGGCCTGGAGTGTGCCTGCTGAGGCTCGAGCAGGCGTGGAATTCCTGCAAAGTCTCTTGTTTTACCTTAAACACATGTGCAAGTTTGCATTCTCCTCCGTGATATGCACAGAATTGTTTTAATGTAAAAATTCTCACAAATCTTTGAGTACAGTCTGGTGCTCTGTGTATTCTATAACCTCTTATTATTATATCCCCTCCCCCCAGGCTATAGCTCACTTATTTGGAAAGGACCAGGCATATATCACTGAGATTTTCTTCTTCTGTTTTCCCCCCATTATTACCTTGTTCTTCTGGTGGACAGGAGATGTAGATGTCTGAATTGAGACTGGAGAAACTAGCAAATTAAAATCACATACGTGTTTGATACCACAATGAAAATGAAAGGCAATTTATTGCTGGTAGAGATTTGGGTATTTGCAGTCATCAGAAGTATAAAATAATCATTGCTGATTCAGTCTGCTTTCTATCGGGTTGGTCAAAAGGTTCGTTCTTTATTTTCCATAAGATGGCTCTAGTAGCACTTAGTTGTCTTTAACTTCACTCGAAACAATTTTGTTAGATTGTATGTGACAGCATGCAGCACGTGCATTTAAAAAAAGACATTAAATTGGTGAATTTTTGTGTAGCCATTTTAACATTGAAGATGGAAGGAAAAAGGCAACATTTTTGTCATATTATGCTTTATTATTTCAAGAAATGTAAAAACGCAGCTGAAATGCAAAAAAAAAAAAAGATTTGTGCAGTGTATGGAGAAGGTGCTGTGACTGATGGAACATGTCAAAAGTGGTTTGCGAAGTTTCGTGCTGGAGATTTCTCGCTGGATGATGCTCCACAGTCAGGTAGACCAGTTGAAGTTGATAGGAATCAAATGAGACATTAATTGAGAACAATCAACATTATACCACGCGGGAGATAGCCGACACACTCAAAATATCCAAATCAAGCGTTGAAAACCATTTGCTCCAGCTTGGTTATGTTCATCACTTTGATGTTTGGGTTCCACATAAGTTAAGCAAAAAAAAACCTTCTTGACCATATTTCTGCATGTGATTCTCTACTTAAATGTAGTGAAAATGTTCCATTTTTAAAACAAATGGTGATGGGCAATGAAAAGTGGATACTGTACAATAATGTGGAATGGAAGAGATCGTGGGGCAAGTGAAATAAACCACCACCAATCACAGCAAAGGCCTGTCTTCATCCAAAGAAGGTGATGTTGTGTATACGGTGGGATCGGAAGGGAGTCCTCTATTGTGAGCTCCTTCCGGAAAACCAGATGATTAATTCCAACAAGTACTGCTCCCAGTTAGACCAACTGAAAGCAGCACTCGACGAAAAGCATCCAGAATTAGTCAATGCATAATCTTCCATCAGGATAACGCTAGACTGCATGTTTCTTTGATGACCAGGCAAAAAAGCTTGGCTGGGAAGTTCTGATTCATCCGCTGTATTCATCAGACATTGCACCTTCGGATTTCCATTTATTTAGGTCTTTACAAAATTCTCTTAATAGAAAAAAATTTCAATTCCCTGGAAGACTACAGAAGGCACCTGGAACAGTTCTTTGCTCAAAAAGATAAAAAGTTTTGGGAAGATGGAATTATGAAGTTGCCTGAAAAATGGCAGAAGGTAGTGGAACAAAAGAGTGAATACGTTGTTCAATAAAGTTCTTGGTGAAAATGAAAAATGTGTCTTTTATTTTTACTTAAAAACCGAAGGCAGTTTTTGGCCAACCCAATACTTAGGTTCTAGGTCCCAATTCTACTGCAAATGGTATCATGGCCTCTTATCAACAAGAGAAGACTTCAGTCCCTGTTCTTGGTTAGTATTTTTTTTTCACTCTAAATTATTACATTACTAAGCAGAAGGAATATCTTTTTGTAAGTGTTGAGAAGGTTAGTAGTATTAGGAGAGAATGGGGAGTCACTACAATTTTCCCTCAGTTCTAAGACTGTATCTTTATTAAAATCAGTTTAATGCCTTTAGTGTTGGGATCCTGGGTGGGGGTCTGGGAAATCCAATATGACATTCAATGTATAATTTAAAAAAATTGTTCTGACATGCACACTTGTCAGTGCAGTGGTATACACTCATGCATACAGGCTCATTACAGTTGAAGTTTGAGTCTAAACAGTCTAATTTGCATGTACGTTTTAAGGATTCATCTGAATCATTTTGGACTATTGGCAGTTTTGCATTGTGTCTTGGGGACATTTTCATATTCCTTGCTTAAGAGCTGGAACCTTTTAGTCATCCTTAGGATTGACTATAATTTGAAAACAAATCCAAAGAAGATTAGCATTTCATCTGCATTTCCTATTGAATTATACCAAAAATGTTTTGTTTATTTGTTGGGGGGAGAGGATTCTCATCAATTAGGTTACATATTCCTCAACAAAGTTGAAAGCCCTAAAGGCTTTCTTTTGAAAGTTGGTTTAAAACTCTTTTTTTTTTTGGCCACAGGGGATCTTAGTTCCCCCGACCAAGAACCTGGGCCCTGGCAGTGAAAGCGGAGTCCTAACCACTGGACCGCCAGGGAATTCCCTAAAAAACTTTTGAAAGATCAGTTTGGCGCCAGAGTATTCGTCCTTCATGTGGATCAGTCAAGCACAGCAACTTCTTTTTAGCTTTGAAAAGGTGGCAGTTTTTACGGCTGCTATTTGCATTTCTGGCATGTGAGAGGCAATGTTCTGAAATTTTTTCATTTAAATGCTACACTGTGGTAGCATTTTGATGACATTTGAAGTAGACTTTGTGGG